ATGATAATTCACTTCGCAAAATTAGGAATATTTCCCCAAAATTCGAAAATCTACTCGAAAGTCGATAATCTACTTCTCTCCCGAAAAAGTAGAAATTCATTCATTTCTGGAGAGGATAACTGAACTCTTCCCGGAAAGTAGATATTTCTATTTTATGATACAAATTTCTGTTTTCTATGATAATCTACTTCGCAAAATTAGGTAATATTTCCTGTACTCGAAAATCTACTTCTGAAAAAGTCGATATTCATTTTCCTGAAAGTAGAAAATGTGATTCACTTTTCGAAAGAAGCAACCAACTTTCCCGGAAAGTAGATATTTCCCATTTTTATGATACAAATTTCCCGTTTTCTATGATAATCACTTCGCAAAATTAGGTAATATTTCCAAAATTCGAAAATCTACTTCCCCGAAAAGTCAGATAATCTACTTTCCCGAAAAGTAGAAAATGGTCTACTTTTCGAAAGTAGATAACCAACTTTCCCAGCAGATATTCCATTTTTTTATGATACAAATTTCTGTTTTCTATGATAATCTATCGCAAATTAGGTAATATTTCAAAATTCGAAAATCTACTTCCCTTCGAAAAGTCGATACATTCTACTTTCCTGAAAGTAGAATGTATCTACTTTTCGGGAAAGTAGATAACCAACCTTCCCGGAAAGTAGATATTTCCCATTTTTATGATACAATTTCGCTCGCGATAATTCACTTCGCAAAATTAGGTAATATTTCCCCCAAAATTCGAAAATCCACTGTAGATAACAACTTTCCGAAAGTAGATATTTCCATTTTTATGATACAATTTCCCGTTTTCTATGATAATCTACTTTGCAAAATTAGGTAATATTCCCCAAAATTTCGAAAATCTACTTCCCGAAAAGTCGATAATCTACTTTCCCTAAAAGTAGAAAATCTATCTACTTTCGGAAAGTAGATAACCAACGGAAGTAGATATTTCCCATTTTTTATGATACAAATTTCCCGTTTTCTATGATAATCTACTTCGCAAAATTAGGTAATATTTCCCCCAAAATTCGAAAATCTACTTCCCCGAAAAGTCGATAATCTACTTTCCCGAAAAGTAGAAAATCTATCTACTTTTCGGGAAAGTAGATCACCAACTATGGGTTTCCAAGGTGTGATTTAGGGTTTGTGTGGTATTCTGAGAGTACTTAATTAGTTAACCCCCTTAAATTTGTATTTGGAGATAAAAGTATCTTTTGGTCAAAAATTTTGTAAGGTATAAGACCCGTTTTTTCTTATTCAGAAATTATCCTAGTCTGTCAAAGTACATAAATATTATTAGTGAAACCTCTTCCTCCATTACAGATATTTGCCTTGCTTTTTACCACCAGTAAGAGGTTGTTTTATTTTTTCATCCAATAAAATTATTTCCATACTAATTATGCTAACAAGGCTTCTTCTGTACAGTAATTTATATTCACTTTAATTTTCTTCTCCTTTATAAAGTGGCACCTTCAGTGTTTTTTTTACAAATGATGTAGCACACTTCCACTTCATAGGGATTTTTGCCAATGCACTTTACCCTATACTATTTTTAAATTGTTTTACTGATTCAAATACAATCTTCAACCATTCAAATCTCAATCTTCAAGATTTTTTGTAAAATATGGAAGAGTAAAAGCATAACTGGCATATCAAATTTATTTTCTGTATAAAATAGCCTGACAATACAAACCATTACTGTAATTTATAGCAACTCAATATGCAACTTTAAATAATCTTGTAGTATACTACATTTAAAAACAGTCCAAAAGGTAAATAAAATCTCTTGGTGCAATATGACTTACAAGAATGACTAGAAAAAGGGGCCATGTACTGCTACGTAGCCTCTGATTCCTTGTTTGTACCTCAATACTCTGTACGAGGAGACCTGCATGATATCCTCACCAAACTTTATAAAGACCACGAGCTTCATTTAAGCTTAGTAAGGACCAGGGTGATGTGATTCAGTCATAAAAATAACTTAACCTAAATTAAGATGTAGGCTTCTATTGATCAGCACAATGAATGACCACTATGGACATAGACACTGGAAGAGAGAAAAAAAAGTGTACAAAATAATGTTAACTGTGTGGAGCAACAAGATGTGGTAAATGCTACCACACATGCCTTGTTTGCCTTTTTTTTTTTATCTTATATCAGCAAGTCTGCCTCTTGCAGTTGTCCTAACTATGACTTGCATATCAGTTACAATAAGTATCAGCCTTATTCACATTTCACTAAAAAATATTATTATAATACAGTAATTCATAAATGCTGCTATTCAACATTTGTTTACACAAATGTGATCTGGACAGTTTGTTTCATTGTACTGCATCTCTTAAATTATGAATAAATATTTTGATATTATACATGTATTGCTTGTAACTAATAAGTCAAAAGAAATATATAGGTTCATACATAATATGTAATGATATTACCAGCATCCAGAAACTTACAACCAAAACACTGTAACCCTTGATGCTGATACAATGACAAAAGGATTACTAAAATATGTACAGTATTATGAATTTTATCTCCAAAACAGTATACTGTATAAGTGACACAGACACTAAATTGGCAGTTTAATGTATCAATATATTATTTGGGACTCTTCACTAAGATCATGTCACTCATGAAATTTTAAGAATGAACAGTACAGTTAGACAGACTACAATGACCAGAGTGGATTGAAAAGAAAATCACAGAAGAATGCTATAACTGCTAAAGTGAAGCATTACATTACAGCACATGCTGTATGAGAGAATGACCAAGAGCAATAATTAACAAAAACTACCAAGCTTTGGAAGAAATGTTAAAGATTGTGAAGCTATTACATACTGATCAGCAATCAGACATATTCTATGAACATGAGGGAGTTAATGGATGAGACAGAAATATTTGGGTCTACACTTCATTAAGATAACATCAAAGATGTGCAGAGGTTGACCATTATGAGTTAACCCTTGGCCAACATCAGTATCACTTTTGTGTCTTTCCTCCCTCCTAAAAGCACAAGTGACTTGTTCAGATTGACCAATGTTTAAGAAAAAAAAAAAATAGTATGAATGTTAAGCAGTGAAAAATCCTTTTTAATATTATGCATGGACCCATCTACTTTACACACAAACAACATATATTGCATATATGAAGATAAGACTCTAACACGACAAAAAGTAGCGATGCACGTTTCTCATAATTCAGTCATTAATTTAATTTATAAAAACAACTAATAAACACACAAAGTTAAAAAGAAGTTTTAGAATTGATAATTTCTTTGAATATTTCTTTTACACAATAAAAATATAGAACTACTGTATTAAGTAATCATTTTGTTAAATTTTTAACGGAAGAAAATAATGGTTTAGATTGTGCACAAGCCACAGATGAGGAAGATGATTAATGAAGGACAAAGAACACATTGTCAAGTATTAAAAGCACCATAATAAAAATTATAGCTTGCCCTACACACACACAGTTACAATAAAATGATAAGAATTGTAATCAAAACTGGTAGCTTTCATTATGATGAAAATAGTTGTTTGATAAAATGCATCACTGAACACAGTGGTTGTGATGGCCTACACAATTATTGCTAATGTTTTCATTGCACTATTGTTAATTAGTATAAATCATTAGTGAAGAATCCAAGAAAATGGTAAGTTGAGTGCACAGTACAGTTTGTACAGACATAACGATGTGGAAAAGAGAATGAGCTCTTGTATCACATGTGACCAGCCATATCTAACTGGTACTGTCAGTCAATATAAACTCTCATGGCAACAAGAATTAAGGAAACTGAGTAATATACAATGTGAGGTGTGACCTGCTATATCTTAAGAGACAATGAGAGAATGTAGAGTGCAACTTGTCTAACAATGATATGATGAAGTTGAGTGTGACCTGTCTTATCAGTATCAGGAACACAAGCAGACTGTACCTTGTCGTACCACAAAAGACAATGGCAGTAAGCAGGATGTGATTCATCAATGGGCTACTTGATTCCTATGAATCATCATCAATAACTTTTAATATATATGACTATAATTGTCACCATGAGGTGTGGAGTCGAGATTTGACTCCTAATGTGACTCCAAAAATAAAGTGAACAGGGTATAGTTTACCCTATTGCTATAACAATACAGGTTAGCTGGGTGTGACTTTCACCCGCCAACGAGCAGGAATACATCTTTGGACTGATCATTATACGTGTAGCCATGTGGCTACGTCTTTGGCTTGCAAAGGTTTATATCTGGAGTACATGTGAGTTCTGCTACACAAGCAGGAACTCATTGTGTTGGAGTGAGTTTTGTAATGTGTATGATTGAGAACACAAATTGGCATACTTTCAAAACTGAAAAAAAAAAAAAAATAATATCATGTGTAAACTATACTGTACAAATATATACATAATGACTATCTACCATACATTAATGTTTGATTCACTAATGGCAGTATGTCAGTATCATATGCCACACATATTATATAAGGTGTACATACAGCAAGAAGCATGGCCAACCCTCTGCCACACAACTTTATCAAAGCCAACACATACAGTATATATGTGTGCCTACTAAGCCTTCATAAAGAAGACTATTACATTACATAGCTACTAAATTTCAAAGGGACTAGCCATTATGGCCTTCACAATAAGCACCATCTTGATGCTTTAGTCTACAGAAAACATCACACAGTTGATAGGGTTATATTAGTATTTCTTTTTTACAGATAATTAGCAATTTCTGTCGACAGAGATAAACTTATTTCATCACATTGCCAACAAATATGGAGTGTTAAAGACATTTTGGTCACGAGAATACTGAGTAAACAATATTGTTACTCAGAGAGTCTTAATAGTACTGAATATATTTTTTTTATATGACCCAAACTATCACTTCTGGGAAATCTATGACTACTTCTCAAAAATATAACATTTCTTTGAGTTCACATATTCCTGAAGTGAATAAAGCTAATTTTTAAATTCTATTTAGTGTATACCAGGGAGTATTATGTGCAGGGTAGAAATTATCACTTCTTCTTCCCTCCGCGTGGCTTGATGCGTTCAGAGATAAACCAGAGAGCTTCTTCATTGAGATAAGCTTCAAAGTTGTTGAAGAAAGCAATTATTTTTTCATTCTTTTTGAAGGTGTATTGGCTGTAAAAAAACAAAACAAAAAAACATAATTAATACATACATTATGGGATAATTTGTATAAATCTACTGTATACAGTATACTGTACCATGAAAATTACATATAAATTATGTATGTACAGGAACAGTTTTAATTTAATCTTAATACATACCATTTTTTAAATCTTTTCATATTATCCAAGATATGAAACTGTTGCCATCGTTTTGAGAAGTTGACATTTCCATCAGGCATCAAATCATTGTTACCAATGTTGACAAATGTTAGATCCTGTAGAATCAGCCCACTGCAAAATTAAAAACAATGTAGCAGTAATTAAATTTGTAATAAATATGACAGCAGTAACATAGGTATATCACAATTGTGTTCTGGGTTAAATCCCTGGTCTGGGATAGTTTTGAGAAAGGTGTTATTCAATATGACATTACAAAACATGACAAAGAAAAGACCAACCACCCATATGGCTAGGAACCTGATCATTGATGAAATGATAAACAAACAGGGAACATCTATACAAAACCACATGGTCCTAATCAACCTTCCTATTGCACCCATACCCCCAATTGGGATATTTAGAAGTTAAAGTTACTCATGAAGGCTGGAGGGTTTTGGTCATGTGTCACTAACTTTAGTTTGTCTGTCTGTCACTTAAGGCTCAGTCATAAACCAGGAGTACTGGATCAACCACTCACTTCTAGCCAGTTTTAGTGTGACTCCAAGGAAGGAGGGAGGGAAATGAGTCATTTGGTCCAGAAGCTGTCATAAAATGGGATTTCAGTAACAATCCTTCACTTCTGATGTAATGTCTGCAACATATGTTGCATTTAATGGCATAATAATATGATTGTTGATATATGGTTACTTTTGTGTTTCTAACCTATCCCATTTTTTCCCATAAGCCTTTAGCATCAGTATCTACAGGTTCACCTTTCATGTTGATCTCAGGGGCATAACCCCTGCAAATACTAAGTGTCTCCTGTATTTATGAATATTTCAATTCATCTACAATCTTTATCACTATGATCTTTATTAAAATAACTTAAGATTTCAGTACTACTTTCATTAGATAGTATGACTTACATGTAAGGTATGCAAGGTGGAGTAGAGTCAGAGAGGGCCTGTCTGTATGCACGAAACGATGATGATGAATCAATGAGAGCACAGTACTCCTTCAGACCATCAGTTATTGTTCTCTGCCACTCCAATCTTCTGATAGGAGCAGAGTCCAAGGCTGAGAGGAGAGCTAAATAGGAGTTAAAGTTGTTTATCTTCCGTAGGTGTTTCATGATACTGATGAACTTCATGACATACTTTTCACGATCCTTTGAATCTTCCTGCTCTAAGATACGAGAACGAGCCCAATATGACATCTTGTTAAAATGTTCAGTAAATGTTGTCAGATTAGGTGACTTTTCTTCATTCTGCTCACTTGCCCAAAGAAGAACTTCTGGAATTTCCATAGTAAGGAAAAGTTCTGCATCTAAAAGGGTCATTTGTTCAGCAATCTCACGAGATCTGAAATCCAGAAGAGTTGACTGCTTTGTGGTAACTGCTAAGGATGCAATATTGAAATTTTCTTTTGGAGTGTAGTATCTCTTTCGGGCTTCTAGCTTTTCTACAATTTTTCTTCTTAATGCTCGTGCCAACAGTAGTTCACCTCTACATAAAAGAGTGTACTCAAACGTTGTTAATGTTTCCAAAATTACATTATTTAAGTCGGTAATAGCAAGGTCATCCACAACTCGCACTAGCAGAGAGAAAGCATTTCGTGCAGCTTTCTGTCTCTCAACGTCAGGACTGCTCACAAACTTATTGTAACGTGTCAGTAACTTATTCACGAGGTCTTTTGGTGAAATGAAGGTACGGTACGTTGTCAAGAAGGCCTCCTGGTATAAGAAATCTGAAATGCAAAAATACAAATATTATAAATTTATGAACATTTTTTATTAATTTTTTCTACCTAACAAATACCCTTCTGTAATTTGGTGTTTCAATAAAACCTTCTCAAAGCAGAGGACTATTCATCATGTATGTTTTTAGGATACATGACCATAAGTATGTCACTAGAAAATATCATCTATATTTTTTAGCTATATTCTAAGAGAAATTACAGTCTACTAGAGACAATAAATTTTGCCTTCATTGCATCTGATGTCAAGTAAACGGTGAGGTATATGAACAAAGTGACACTGTTCTTGTTTTCCACCTAATGCCATCAGACACAAATAACAGCAACTTTTGACAAGCATTTTAGAGGTTTACCCTAAAGAATTTTAAATCAGATGATTATTATGTCAGTCTAGCATAAGAATGGAATATTTTAATGGCATGATTTGTGCAATGGCTATTAATATGTATATGAAAGATGAAAAATTAATGGAGCTCTTTGTATTACTAACAAATCACCCATCTAAATCATTAAACAGGAGGCTTTTAAATAATGTAGAAGACTGGCAGTTTAACAGTGTAGAAAGTCTGTTAACTGACTGTGTGTGTGTGTGTGTGTGTGTGTAATATTTCTACTTATACAATATAGTTGCAGTCCTTTCCTGTCACTCCCTACACATGTTTTGCATTAACCTCCTCCTTTGTTTGAAGATTCTGTGACCCCCTTGAACAACCTTATACCGAAGTGCAGGAATCAATATGGGCTTAAAGATGATGGATTAATATCTATGGTGTTAGTGATTCATCAAAGGTTTTTTCTCAGGTCATTTGGCTGGTTAGACTGATGAGGAGGTGAGTGAGGCTCAGGGATAGGGATGTGTAGGGGGAAGGTTTCCTTGTGTCTTGATGGGTACAAACATTTAAGTACGGTAAACATATAATGTACCTGTACTGTACACTTATCTACATAAATACGCACATACAGAGGGAAAACAGAAACATGCATAAATAGATAAATGAATGGAGAGATGAATAATAGAGTTGGATGAATGAATAAAAAGAAGAACAGAAAGATATCTTAAATGAAAGAAGGATGTACAAATAACATTTACTGTAGTTAATTCATGATATAATCCATTCAAAGACACTAGGAAATACATGAAAAGAGATCTGAATACATAAACTAAGGTACCAGTACAGACACACATCCACAACATATCTACTTATACAGTACAGAACTGTACACACTGTTACCAACATTAAAAGCCATGTGGTATGTGCTGATTTTTTTTTTTTTTACAATTTGGTAATTATTGATTGCCACACAGTAAAGATTTAAAGAGTTTCACAATAAAATAATATGAATATATATTGTACCTTTATGTGTGAAGGCTTGTTTACCTTATGAATGAAAATCACCTACTACATCCACTTTAATAAACAGTAAACCAAGATTGCTGGTCTCTTTATTTTAAATGGTTTTGAAGACACTGACAATACTGAACACTGTATGACAATGACAACATCATTTGGCAGTAATGATGACTAGGACAACTTAAAAAGAAAACCATAAACCTGTACCATTCTCTATTGAACCAAGTACAGATATGGTAAAATCAACAATTGTTAAATAAACAGTTATTTCAAGAGAAAGTAAGGCACTTGATGTAGTGGCCACCAAACTGTGATCAGGTAATGATGGGTCACAGGCAGAATGATAACGTTTGGTGTTCTCAAAATGATTTGCGAGAGACATCAGGTTTTTAAATACGTATTATTGACAAATGGCAGATTGCAAGCAATTCCTGGAAAGACAGTTCACCATGCTGATGGGAAAAAAATAAGTAATAAAACTTATAAGTAGGTGGCCAGACTCAAGACCAACTGACTCACTATAATCTGCTGTCATTCATGCTCTCCAATTGTTGTAACACATGTGTTCAGTTACAGTGCTCCCCTTCCACAATACTGCACCGAGTTTTTTATCCAGTTTACCCCATATTACTTCACATGCAAATTGCATCACCACAACTGCAGTGTACATTCTTATAAACCACAAAGGATCACACTCTGACTCACACACACACACATACAATGCTACTTGTAAATAATTACACCTCTGGGTGATGAGTTTGAACCCAGTCTGACTGCCAACCATAGTGGCTCGGGTTCAAACCTGAAGAGGTGTAAATTGTTTACAATGATTTACCTGCATACATTACAGGTTCTGATACAATGCTACTTCTTGAATATCCATCCCACTCCTTACTGCAGCCATCCAGCTCCTCCTCGTCTCATTCCCTCTCTTAATATTCCTTTCTGAATTAAACACCCACAAGGCATTACCAGGCTTCAATCACCTTTCTGTTGGATACTCCTGTCAACTTCCACTTCTTTCATTATTATCTATTCGTTACATCACATAGTGTTCTTATATACCTCATATTAATTGCTTTTAACATACTTCCTCCTCTTTCATTTAGAGTTCATGCTTCACACTTGTTGTGTTGTGTTAAACATCTCATCTTTACACCCCTATCTCTATTACAGACGAAGAAGAAGAAATATTTAGTCAATAACCATTGGACAAGGTGCGATTCTATAAATCAAAAGGGCAGAAGGGATAATGTGAAGCTATGAGATTAAATGGTCAACCAATAAGCCAGCTGCAATGAGTCTTCAAAATCAAAGGAAGCAAAATATGTCAGATTATCTTCCATTGACACAACCTAAAATCAAACTACAGGATTCACTAAATGAAGAACAATAGTAAAAAAATTATAATAGAGATACTGTAGATGTGTGTGTGAGAGAATGACCAAGAGAAAATAAGGCTGACAATTGATATACATATGGACATACCGTACAGACTTCCACATGCACATACAAATATAATCACTCCTACCCAACCACCTATCTTCTCTTGCCAAAAAGAACCACACAAGAAATAAAAAAAGAAAGAGCTGTAAACACTCATACATGTTTGTCAAAGTATATACTGTACTGTACACATATAAATAAACACAAAAGCATTCACACACAAATGTATATACTTCCATGCAAAAACAATAAATGCACATACATTATACACACACACACGCCAAAAAAAGGCATTTTAAGAATAATTAGTCGATTATGCCTCAATAGTCAACAGAATTTTTTTAATTAGAATACCTTTCACTTTAACTGTTGTAACACAATGAAAATGAATGAATAACATATATGGTAAATCCTTAGTTATCATAATAATGGTGAACTTTACCCAAATTTGGTTAAGTTATGTTAGGTCAGGTTAAGTTAGGTTACTATTACAGTATTCCCTTAAAGCTCGCAGTTTTAAAGCTTGCGTCCCAAGGAAACTCACGAATTGTCATGGAAAATAAATCTGAGGCTGTGTGCCAGGCATCAAGAGGAGTCAATACTAAAGGACAATACAGAGTACCATATTTGCCAGATCATAAGATGCACCCTATAATTAGCAAGGTGTACTGTATTTTGGAAAAATAATTTTTGCAGATTGAATAGCCTACTGTCACTAGCGTAGCTAGGGGGGGGCGGTCCGCCCCGGGCGGCACTTTTGGGGGGCGGCACTTTTGGGTCTGCTCATCACCCATATCTGCAGCTACTGGAGACGTTAATCCATCCCTTTGTATCGGCGGCAAGTTAATCCTTGTCGTGTCTGACCTAACACCTGACCCACATCATCACGGCCACGTCATGAGCTACACCCTTGCTATGCGCCCCCCCCCCCGCCACACACACAACCTGTAACCTGTTGAGGATTAAGGAAACAACTTCAAACAAGTACGCCAGTGAGCTCATGTGGTGTGGGTCAGGTGTTAGGTCAGACACGACGAGGATTAACTTGCCGCCGATACAAAGGGAAGGATTAACGTCTCCAGTAGCTGCAAAACCATGCAGTCTCGGGTCATATCAGTTCATGTACAGCCGACCAATCCACCAGTTACAAGCAATTCACTTCAGTTCTGCACAAGTCTCCATCGTGACAAGACGAGTGAGTCACTGTGCAATATGTATTTTTTGTGGGGGCAGGGGGCAAACTCAAGGGCCGCCCCGGGCGGCACACACTCTAGCTACGCCACTGCCTACTGTACTGGCAAAGCCAAATCACTAGCTATATGCTATCATGTTTCTCACTACCACAGTTCACATTATGGTCCTATTATCAAACATTTGTTGGCATTATTAATAAAATTTACCTAATTTAAAACAAAAGGATATAATTGTATGTATAGGTACCTATGGTATACACATTACAAATACTCATCGGTACCGGGCATGTTCACTAGGAATTGTCCAGTACAGGGATTGTTTACATCCTGTGCACCACATCAGATGATGTTTCAGAGGTATTGTCTTTGCATTGTCACTACCACAACTATCACTGTGTGGACCTAATGTCCATACAGTGTTATTTCATGTTTAAGTTTATTTATTTATGTTATTTCATATTTATTATACAAGTATTGTACAGTATTGTCTTATACATACTTAATGTTGTTAGACATGTGCATAAAGCTATTTATATACTGTATGTAATTTGCACACTCCTGGGGCTGGCACGAAAAACTCATGGATTCTGCTTTCTCAAGGGGTCCATTTTACCTAACCCCAGCGAGCTTTAAGGGAATACTGCTTAATTCTATTTAGTTTTAGTTTGAACTGTTTGCATGTGCACAACAGTTTATATATTAAAATTTATATTTATTTATTGACAGTACAGTACTACTGCAATTTAGTGATTATCCAGTATTCTTAAAATGCATGACTGATACACACTCATCATAAAGAATTACACTAAACCATACACACAAAACCTATCCCATACATACAAAAACACATACATATGAACCTAATTGATCAACACAATCCCTAACAGACTGCAATTAAACTTTCTAAGAGATAACATAACACTCATTGTAGCCTCTCAAATCATTTCAGAGTAGTTTGTACATCAAATCCACATTAAAAACAGCAAATTTGAATGCGATTTTCTTGTACAAACTTGATATACAGTACAGTACATGTTACTATAAGCTCTTTCACACACACTATGGCCCTTATGTCCTCTCATTCATAAGCCTGATTGGTTAAAAATCTGACATCTGGCGATCTGTCTCAAAGTCTGTGTAGCTGTAATTCTAAAATCCACGAAGGGACTGAATAAAGTCAGCACATGCACTTTATTATGACAAGCCTACTCAAACCTTACCATCCTTTTCCTCATCCTCTGTTAAACATGAAAAGACACACAAAAATAAAAATACAACTGACTTTATCAGGACTGTACTTTAAAATTTAAAGTGAAAAAGCCTTAACAATGGCATGGCAGCCAAAGTAAAATAAATTTGGTCCTAATTCTATTAAAGAAAAGAGAACTGGAAGGTTTGGTTGGTCAGATGGTTTCACTTTGTAAAATAAATTAACTTAAGACAGCATTATGGTCGATTCAGCTGCAGTTTCCAGACTAATTTTTGTGATGAGTAGTTGTTGACTCCTTTCACACTATGACACTTTGTTGCATTTAATGGGTAGAGCTAATTTTTCAATGGATTAATAATTCTACACTTAAGGGTGTATACCATTACCATAAACATGACAAAATAATTGTATCATTTAAGTTCTAAGGTACAGTATTCATCATTCTTTTATAAAAGTTTGTATAACAGAATAAATGAAATTTTTTTAACAAAGAACAAGTACTAAATTCTCACAGTCAAATTAGTTTTATTATTCCATTACCAGTTGGGTGGACTACACAAGTTTTCTACAAAATTTTTGGTTACTGCAAATTTGCAAGATTCATCCCTACTCTCACCTCACCGCTCTTAAGGCCTAATGTTCAATATGTACATCGATCCTCTACTGTACAGTATATACTTTCTACCACCATTACAGTATAGTCTGGTTTTAAGCGGTTAATTTAACCCATGGAGGTCCGCGTATACAGAGAAACACGTAAATAAAATAACAGAACCTATGGGATTAATTGAAATAGAGACTGGGCCGACCGCTAGACTCGCCTTTTTTTGGCTATCGCCGACACAATACTGTACATTGTAGCAAAAATAACATCTTAATTTTATGATGGTAGTTCAGGGCCTCTCGGGGGTGGTTCCTGGGCACGAGTGAATATACGCGAAGACAGTGAGACTGACGCGGCGGCAGAGAGCGTGGGTGGCAGGGGTGGCAAGGATGCCTAGACCAATCACAGCGCGCGGCGGAGCGGGTGCGTGGGTTGGTAAGGATACGTGGCCCAATCACAGTCTGCGACGTCAGCGTCCAGCACCTCGCCCTGCTGCTTGCCACGTACATGATGGAATTTACCGTGTAAATAATAATTATATCTTCTGACAGGTGCCGCGTAAATGGCCTTCCGCGTAAAAAATACCCTCGTAAAACCAGACTATACTGTACTTACCTTATTCCCATAAATATCCAATAAACACCTACATGCTTGTGTTTACTAAAAATTCCTTCCTCCACAATGCCATAACTTTATACCAATCACACAAATTCTTACACATAAGTCTCTAAAACAAGTATTGTGTAATCAAATAAATGACCAAATAAACAATGCAACTTATAATAAAAGATTCCCAGACACAATCACATATATTTTTAACATTACAGTCACACACATGATTATAAATGTTTTGACTGTAAAATTACATACATGCACCCTGAGATGTACCTGAGCTGTTCAGTCTCAGGTACGTTCTGAAGCGAGAGTTTCTTAAATTAATCTATCAGTAGTAGTTATCTTTTCCAATAACTCAGACATGTATGTTTAGTAGTCCCAAACATCTGCAATTATAAACCTCTTAAAGTTAAAATTATGTTACTTCTTAAGTCCAAAACAACAACAGGTTGAACCGTGAATCTCCCAAGTAATATGTTATCTACTTAAGGTTGACCAGCTTCCTGTAAGAACCTCCCAACCTATCTGAGCTGTGAGAACCCAATAAAAATAGACAGGCCAGCTATACACTAAACAAGCCCCTCTCTGAAACATCAAAGGATCTGTCTTTAAATTATTTGGCATATATATATACAGTATATACAGGACAAACTCAGTACTTCCATACCATTTTTGTTAGCTTTAGATGCGTGTACAATGAGAGAATCTACTGGGCCGCCTCTAACATCCGGGGTTTCATCTCCTTCCTTTTTCAAAATTAAATAGTCTCTCACATCAAGAAGGTCTAAAGGTCCTTCTTCCTCTTCCTCTTCTACCTCTTCTTCTTTCTTCTCTATCTCTTTCTTCTTCTCTATTTCCCGAGATTGATCCTTAATAATAACTTCTTCAGGTTCATCCTTCTCCTCCACTGACTTTCTACATAAACTATTGTCATCTCTGAAGAGAAAAAATATATATTTTAACCTACATACAAAATTAATTATTCCTGGCATATATTTTCTAATAAAGCTGGTTTCGTGAAGGTAGGAAAGGAAAAATTTAAATTTTGTTCATGAAACCACCATTTTAATTTTATCAGCAGTGATATATCCATTAGCTGGAACAATTGGTGCAGAGCACTTCCAGGAATGAGAGATTTCCAGGTAACGAGACGATTCTCTCAAAGCCGGAAAAAATCTCTTATCCCCGGAATTTTCCAGGTATGCTGTAACGGAAACATATTCTCGGATGTTCTCAGAAGTTCCAGAATGATGCATTACATCATCTTTTGAACTTGGAAAAATATCTCCCATCCCCGGAATTTTCAAGGTACCTCAAAAAATCACACCCAAAGCAGGAATTTTCTGGAAAATTCCGGCTTTGGGAACGATTTTCCGAGAAAATTTCAATTCCGGCTATCAGAGAGTTCCTGGTGTGAGGGATTCTGGCTATGGAGATATTACTATTACTTCCTACAGTGAGTTCTGCTATAACGCGTGTTTTGACAACGCGAATTGGCTCTAACGCGATTTATGAATAGAGGAACGATATTTGTATAATGCGAACGCTTGTTTGCTGTAACGCGATTTTTGCTTACTATTTCTCCAATTTTGTGGTATTAACTGTGAATATGGTAAAGAAGAATATCTCCAAGAAGCGTTCTGTTGATCGCATTCCCGGTGATGATCGTAAAAGAAAGGCTATAACACTTGAAGAGAAGCTCGATGTTATCAACCTCAAAATCACCCTTCTCCCCCATCAAGTTATATTCATATTTCTTCACGGTAAAGTGTTACATTTACTGTATGATTTCATTATTAGATATGAATGTAACATTTATTTAGACTGTGCTAACCTTTGTGTTAGGCTAACTACTAAAAAATTTTCGATTTCGAGTAGTAATCTGCACCTAACCCTATTTTCTTCATAAGCCCTGTTATTTCTATTACGCGAATTTCTATAACACGATGTTTTACAAGAACACAACTATCGCGTTATAGCAGAACTGACTGTATGTTGAAGTGAAATTACCAGAAATGCAGTATTTTGCAACCAAAAAAACTTCCCTAATGGAAAGTGAATGTGAAACTACTTACAGGGGGGATTGGCATTCAGGATTCATTCATGACTTCACAGCAAGTTCTGATATTAATATTTTCTTAACTATTTTGTCCTCAGTATGGACTTAAAAAGCCTGATACAGTCTCAAACACACCAAATCCCTGTACAAGAATGCTTAATTTCCTTCCCATCTCTTAAGCCTGTCTGCTTTATGTAAATGTGAGTGATGAGTATAGCAGCTATAAGGATTAATGGACTTACAAAATAAAATTTTGTTGTGATGGGTCAATGTTTGAGTCCATGAATGGTACAGAATGTGATGATGCTGGTAATGACTGTCTGGTTTGTTGAACAATATGAAGTCGTCTCATTTTGGGCGGTAACGCTGGTGGTTGTGACATGGGCTCCATTCTGTTAGGGAAAAATCAGTGTCATTCATATATGGTACATACAGTACATTGGTTGGTGCTATTAATGGGAGCTTGGTTGGTGCCATTAATGAGACCTTGGTCGGCGCCATTAATGGGAGCTCGGTTGGTGCCATGTCAACAAGCAAGGACTATATGCCAGTCTGTCTGTTTACCTATTTATGAACCTTATTCCATTCTCAACTACACAGAGTGAAACAGGTGCACTAAGACTCGCAAGAAACATAAATCAATTATATCCATAATAAAATTACGTTACACATAACAAAGATGTCCAATGATATTCTTTTCCCAGTGATAACATTTTCCCTGAGAAATAGTCTCATAATAATCCAATTTGGCACTCTGCCACACACTCCAGACCTTCTCATCATCCTTCAACTCTTAATTGATGCAATTTTTGTTGGTCTGCAATATATTTTGTAAGCATTCACTGATGCCTTTTTAATGGGGTATTAGCCCACCCAGACACAGGTTAATGACCCACATCAGGGCCTGGGGGGTGAAATAATAATAATAATAATTAATAAAAAATAATAATAAAGAACCATAAATAAATAAATAAAAAGATCAATATCTATACTGTAGTGAAAAGCGATATACAGTATGTATGTTGTGTTGTCAAAGTAATAGAAACAATTGAGACCCTCCAATTATATTTTGCAAGTGAAACTGCAAAGCAAATCTAATTTGCATACTGTATAGATAAGTGTTTTGTTATCATCTGATAATGCAGTTAAAGAGACTTACTGACAGTCCATAGTGGGGAAACTGTTTGCAAGAATGAAAGAAAAAGAGAACTCACCCTTCAATAATTCCAGTAAATGTGGTGGTATGATAAGGATCATGATCATCACCATGATCAAGAAGATGAGACTCCATGTTTGAGACAAGATGCATTTGGTGGACAGAATGACGCAAAAACTCCAATGGATTAGGTTCGCTCACTTGACCAAATAGCTTCATGTAATCATGAACTGTGAAGATGAATAATAAAGGTTTTAAAAGTAATTCCTACTAAACATTATTTCATAAATATGACTTCAAAATGCAATGTTCTACTTCACAACTGATATGTAGTATTGTCCCTGTCAACAATACCTGCCGCATGTTCCTTATTAATAAGATGATGATTTATCCAAAATCAAATATCAATTGTACCTAGAATGCCATACTGTATGTTGTTTCATCCACAATAATACACAAATACAAATTATGATGCAATATTTATAGATGATAAAGACTGAGAAAAAAAGATCTCTTACAATCAGAGGAAACTGCAAGGTTAATACAAGTACAGTACTATACAGTAGTTGTGAAAATGTTAAAAGCACAATGAAAAAACAACAAAAGCAACATTTTTGGGCACTCTATTTTGAATAATCTATTAAGAGCACAAAAATTAGTAATGGAAATATTTATTTTTTAACCAGTAACTTAATATGCTATAAATTCTTTACTGCTATACAGTAATGTATACTATAAAATATAGCTACAGAGTCTTACCCGCTACACTAGAAAAAAGTGAATTTATCAGTCCCCATTATGGATGGGATATGTTCTTGAAAAGGTGACTGTAAGATGTAACTCCTTAACAAGAATACCAATTTTCCTATTTACTTCCATTGCCTTTTTGAAGATGTGATCCAAGAAAATTAAATCACCCCAAGATGTAATAAAATCACAATCAAGAATGTAATACTGTACAGTAAACCATTTCAAACAAATTTCATATGAAAAATGATGTGTAAAAAAAAAGTGGGGGGGGAGTCTAGTATGTGATCACACCAAACAGTCAGGATGGGTACTGGTAAGAAATGCATTCACAAACATTGTATCAAATGTCTGCCAAGACAAATTACATGTGTAAACATTTACTCATTTCCATAATGTCATATTTTCACATTGTCTCAGATTTAGTGATCATAATTTACAAGTTCTGCATATGTTAAATTCTGCAACCCGAATATCCAAAAAACAAGGGATAGCTATGCACAAAGGACATACCATATTTTTTTTTCACAGGCAAAGGTGGTGGGTTGTCATCACTTCCATAAATATCTAGCTTATTTTTCTGGCGGAATTGAACACAACTTCCTCCCTGGCTACTGATGCTGCTGCTGTTGCTGATTATGCTGAAGGTACTAGTACTATTGACACTGCTGGTGCTGCTACTACTGCTGCTCCCTAGGTCCACGTTGTTGGCTTTGGGAGGCAATTTTGGGCTTGGGTCCCCACTCTGTTGAAGTTGACAAATTAATATTACGGTGTTAGAATTGAACTTTCAATAAATGCAAATTAAAACACACAACACCTTTCGATTATCTTCATTCCTCTCTTACTTTTGTGTGGGATGGACCAAGGGGTACATATGATGTCCACAAAAGGGGGAATTTAATTAATGAGAATGGAGGGAGAAAAGTTTAGAGAGAAAAAGGAAGGTGCTGAGATAATGACTACTGTATAATCATTTTAACCCTTATACCCCAGGTGTTGTAAGACCCGCCGAACCCCCCACAGGGGCATATTTCGGTAAAAAAGCAATTAAAAAAAATTCCATTCCCACTTTATATTTGGGTTAATCAACATGAGAAAATTACCAGAAGAATTTGCATACATTTAACTTTCATTGTAGCATGGTTGGAGAGTTGTCTGGAGTGTTGATGAGCAGTGTGGAGAGATGAAAGATGTTTTGTATGAAGCTACTGCACAGCCCACAGTGAGCATAAAGTGAATTTGACACACACTTGCAACATACAGTTCTTACTTGAAAGCACTTTTATATCATATTTCTATCTTACAGCTATTACAAATCACAAGATATTCCTATTTTCAAATATATACACTATTTACATGGACTTATACTGAATTTAGAACTTCTTGATCATGTGGAAGACTTTGCAACATGGAATGCTCAAGGCAACTCCACACTCCTTGCACAAAGTCGCCATATCTTTGCGCCATGGTTCACTGTAGATGGCTGGGCGGGGAGGGGAGGGAGCACCAGTCGGTAGGTCTATCATGTCCTCTCCACCTCAACAACTCGACATCATCTGGATTCTGTTTCCTTCCCATCATTGCCTTCATTACCTGATGCTATATCAAGGTCATTCAAATCATGCAACTCTTGATGAACAGCACTACTGTCAAGTAAATGCTTTCGCTTGCTCTTAGGTGTGGAGGAGTGAGGTGGGTCATAAGAGAGGTCTAAGGATGTGCATCCCTCACAATATCTGGTGGATAATTGACCATGAGTCACGAGTCTTGAGACAAATACACACGAGTTGAGCTGCCAATTACAAAAATATTCCATACAAAGTATTCCCTCACGCCTGGACATTCAAAATACAGTATGCTGCAAAAATTAAGAACGTTCAGGAACGTCACCCAAGGTCATTTAGGTAAACGTTCAGGAATATCACCCAGGGTTTAAGGTTTAAACTTATTTGCTCACATCCTCAAATTGTATATGTAGCTTAAACTTGAAAATTATTAATGAGAAACAGAATACAGTATATAATAAATTATGAGTTCATCTTGTGGCTTTCAGCAGCACCATGGAATCCTCAATTGACATAATTTGTTGAAATTTATTTCAAAACGGAAAATATTTTGTTACTTACAATATATCTTATATCTGCACCATCCACACGATCAACATTGTCATACGTTGATGTAGCACGACCCTCTGAAGAACCTCCACCATGATACTGACGCTGCTTTGCTGGTAGTGCAGGACGCACTTGCACTGATATAAGGTGATTTTCTCCCTGTAAGTTTTATGAACATTACTAGAGTATAGAAACAAACACATGCTAATGAATATTAAAAATAATGTACTGTACAGTACACAGGGCTTAAGCAATGCTAATTGCATATTTCTAAACAAAGCTGAATTACATAAAAAAAGTATTTTTCTGTAAGCTATGACAAATTATGTACATGTACAGTATGTAAGATTTATCTAAGATTTATGGCAGCTTCCAAAAGATGAAGAAATCAACTAGTCTGATGATGACAACTGTGCACAGACATGACAAATATTGGTAGCAAAGCAACAATTCTCTTCAGTGTTAGATCAAAACGAAATCGATGAAGCAGATATTCAATATTATGTGATATAAAAAATAATCAAACAAGGTAGGTAAGTATGAATTGGTGGGTTGAAGAGAGGAGAAAAAAGAAGGATATACTGTACAGATGTACTGTACAACACAGTAAGAAACATAAGTTTTTCAAATGCCTGAATACTGTAAATTATATGATACTGTACTAATATAAAGCAGAGATGGTATAAAATGAAGCAACGAAAAAGCAATTGGTTGGTAGAGAAAGGCACGGACGTTGAGATGGCAGAGAAATTTGTTCTGCTTGGTAGGTGGTGATGGGTAGGATCAAGCTGAGTGGGGAGGTGGTGATGGGTAGGATCAAGCTGAGTGGGGGAGGTGGTGATGGGTAGGATCAAGCTGAGTGGGGGAGGTGGTGATGGGTAGGATCAAGCTGAGTGGGGAGGTGGTGATGGGTAGGATCAAGCTGAGTGGGGAGGTGGTGATCTGAGTGGGAGGTGGTGATCAAGCTGGTGGGGAGGTGGTGATGGGTAGGATCAAGTTGGGTGGGGAGGTGGTGATGGTAGGATCAAGCTGAGTGGGAGGTGGTGATGGGTAGGATCAAGCTGGAGTGGGGAGGTGGTGATGGTAGGATCAAGCTGAGTGGGGAGGTGGTGATGGGTAGGATCTTGCAAGCTGAGTGGGGGAGGTGGTGATGGGTGGGATCAAGCTGAGTGGGAGGTGGTGGGGTAGGACTGTTGAGGTGGGAGGTGGTGATGGGTAGGATCAAGCTGGTGGGGAGGTGGTGATGGGCAGGATCAAGCTGAGTGGGGGAGGTGGTGATGGTGCAGAATCAAGCTGTGTATGGAGATGGTGATGGGTAGAATCAATGCTGTGTGGGAAGGTGGTGATGGGTAGGATCAAGCTGAGTGGGGAGGTGGTGATGGGTGGGAGCTGTGGGAGGTGGTGATGGGTAGGATCAAGCTGTGTGGAGGTGGTGATGGTGAGGATCAAGCTGTGTGGGGAGGTGGTGATGGGTAGGATCAAGCTGTGTGGGGAGGTGGTGATGGGTAGGATCAAGCTGTGTGGGGAGGTGGTGATGGGTAGGATCAAATTACATGGCTGTATGGTGACTTATACAGTAAAACCTCAGTACACCAGACTAATTGGGGCAGACCACAGTCCAGAAAATGCAAAAGTAAAAGAAAAGCAAATGTATGGGGTCTAGGGATAACACTGCCAAGAAAATAATTTGTTGTAATAATGATATTACAATACTATGCTTCAACAAGTAAGGTCTTTCAGCACAAAAAAGGTTCGGAAAACACTATAAAAATAGTATCTGGGAGCAACAGGATCACCCTCCCTCCCCCAGAATCCATTCAACATGTCTTTATGCAATTTTGCCACAATTTCCACATTAATTCAGTTCATTTGGTGCAGGATTGATATAATATCATAAAATAATAAACTTTCTCCCCCCAAAAGGTTCCCACACTCAAACCAGATTAGTCGTTGTGTCGTATTAAATTCCCGGTCATTTGTTTACAAAAATACAAATCCCAAACAGAGCTCTCTATCTCTAATGCTTACCACAACATCTGTCATCATCACTTAGTAAATAAAACTATAGTGTATTTAATAGCATTAAATAAATAATATTGTAGAGCATTTATCAGCACTTAGTAAATAATATTGTACAGTAGTACATTATGCATCTGCATATTTCCTTATTTATTAATTACTCAGTTGCTTAAGTGTGCAAATAGCCAAATCGTGCCATCATGTATCACTTAAACATAATAAATAACGTTGTTAAGAAGGTATCTCCATATCAAATACTATACAATATGTCATAATGATCCTGTTGTGAGCTGATTGCCTGAAAGCTCTTTCCAAGAACACATCTTGAATGAATACCTTGCATTACAGGTTATCCTTTTATTTTCACATCATATTATAAATTATTTTTTGTTCTATTATTGGAAATGTTATATTAATCATGATGGATCAAACACCATAAGAGGCTGATCATACAAGAATCTAATATTGAATCAATGAATAAACTTGGTGAATGCAGCAGAGCACGGTCACCCCACCACCCCCAGCCTGTTTATATACAGTACACACAATGTCTTAGCTCTAGCACTTAGTAGCTCCTGTTAGGCCTACAGCAAATCCAATTATATCACTGTACATCATTCAGTAAGCAAGTGATGTTATTTTCATTATTATTTTTTTAAGTTTACCCATTTTTTAAACTATCAAGTATCCCCATTAAAGACAATACTCTACATAAAAAAATCCTGTAAATGAGTGTAGGTAGTGGGGTGCAATGTACTGATACCATACGTATGAAGGCAGGATTCGGGCTGAGACACGTGCCACAGCCGCGTGACACCCACGGAGTTGCACAGACATTCAACTGCATGTACAAACACACAAACTATCTGGACTGATGCTGGATTTTCCTTTTTTCTTTAAATATTTCTAGTGAATAGAGGGGCAGTATTGAAGTCTGGTGTACAGTATATAAGTTTTACTGTAGATCAAGTCACTGAATAATAATAATAATAATAATAATAATAATAATAATAATAATAATAATAATAATAATAATAATAACAATAATAATAAAAAGTGATGAAACTAAGATAGTGAATGAAAACTTAATGGGAGCTTGAAAAAAAAAAAAGTCATATGATAAACTGAGGAGTTGCTTGAATCTATAGACATATATATTATAGGAAGAACATGGGGGGACAGAGATAATGGTTTCCCAAACAAGAATATAAAAATGGGAATATAGAAGGTGAAAAATAAGGAAAGAAGGAAAAAAATGAGAGAAATAATACGGACTGGAGATGGGAATACAAGAAAAATGAAAAGAAAATGTGGAGGTGAAGAAAGAGTATGAGAATATCAAGTAGTGCTGTGCATTCCATCAGTACACCACATCATACTTCTCCTATGGCTTTGTCTACTTAGTCTATGTGGTGACAGTAAGAAACTGATGAAAAAAAAAATCCTGAGTAGGGTGAATGCTCTGTGCAATATACTGAGAGAAAAAAAAAAGGGAATTGGTATATGAGTAATACTGTACTGAATACATGGTAAAGAGTATGGTAAATACAGTAACATATAGAGAGAAGTTATGTAACACTGTAAAGAATGCTAATTTACATCATCTTGCACAGTGTCAAGATTACCATACTATTAATACAAAGACTATTTTCTCATACCCACCTCGCTGGCACAAGAAGAAGATGAAGAGGAGGAGGATGTGGATGAGCGAGTGGCGGTATACGAAAGTAAACGCTGGGAGCTACACACCACTTTACTGCTAACCTGTGGAGTTTGTCATGCAAGTCAGACACATGAGAGTATGATGCAGGAGGAAAAAAGAGTTTTGTAAGAAAGAAAAGAATACCAAAAAAAATAAAAATGAAGGGTGTAGTATCGTGGCAGAGTAGAAAGTCGGTAGAAGGATAAAACTTTGTGCTACTTTCATAACCTAAACATCAATGTGATAACAATAATCATCATACATTAGAGTGAGGTAGTGCAGAAAAAAGGTTGAATCTTGACACAGAAAGCAAAATACAAAGGCAATAAAGGCAATAAACATACCAACAACAAAATTTTAGTTAATCAAATGGTGTTTGGATATTTTCCCTCATTTCAAAACTGAGGTTATCAGACTATATATACAGAGAACCCTCACTTTACGCGGTTAATTCAACCCACGGCGGCCCGCGTAAAGTGAACAACATAACATATGGGATTAATTGAAATAGAGACCGGGCCGACCCCCAAACTCCACTTTTTCAGACACAATACCTACGTTGTAGTAAAAATAACTTCTTAATTTTATAATGGTATGCACACACAATTAATAACTAAGAGAAATATCAATAATATTAGGTTTTTTAACACTTACATTAGTAGAAAAGATGGCTGGGCACACGGGGATGGGGGGTTGGTTCCGAGGCAGAGGGCAGATTATTGGCCCTCACTTACATCACTTGTATCAATTGTATCACTATCCACCACAGAGGCTTGCAGGGCCTCTTTGTCAAACCCCTCAAAGTCCATATAAGTCCATATCCTCACTATCATTATCACTATCACTGACTTGGGCCGGCTGTGGTGGGTGGCGGTGAAGAACTCGGTAATGTTTTGATGACTGGCGACCTTGCGCACCCTGCTCGCGCCGCTCTCCGCTAAAAGGGTACACACAGGGGAAGTGAGCATTCGGTTTGCAGGGTACGTAAATGGAAATCGTAAAAGGGACAGCGCGAGGTTGACTGTATATATATATATATATATATATATATATATATATATATATATATATATATATATATATATATATATATATATATATATATATATATATATATATATATATATATATATATATATATATATATATATATATATATATATATATATATATATATATATATATATATATATATATATATATATATATATATATATATATATATATATATATATATATATATATATATATATATATATATAAATGCTGTGGGATACAACAGCCATTTTCTACCTATCACCACTTCGAAGATATCTTTACCCTTCTTAATCTATTCATCCAGCTCCTTCAGGATGAATCACACTGGCTAATGCGGCACAACTGAACTCTGCATTCACACACAATTACTGTATAAATGTTTCTAAAATATACCAGTTCTTCTATGATTTCCTACAACTTCTGTCATTGATGTCAACCTTTTTGGTGTCATCTTGGCATAAATGGCTATTAAACACCAAAACTATCTTTTCTATATATCCTATAAATACTGTATAAATAGTGTACAGTATATAATTTATTATACCTACAGCAAAGACACACATGGACATAAGAGACCCCATCCCTTTTCTCCTAAGTTTCACCCAGCAGAGTAAAGCATCTTCTCTTTCTATTTTAATTTTTCACACTGTCATTCCTTGACTTTAAATTGTTAAGTAATGCTTGTTACGCTCTGTCATGCTCTTTATCATATTTTATTCTGTATCGTATTGTTAATTATTATTTTTTTTTTGTCACACAATACCCCCAAAACTTACTGTGACAGATTACATTTTATCATGTAAATAATGTTAGCACATTCAAAAGCCTGATATAAAAATTACTTCTCTCATGAAGGAAACTAATAATTCTTGACACAAGGGTTTCCCCATCACCTGCTTCCATCTCACTGTACCAAAAGCAATTTCCTGGACAGTGTACTCTCATCTAAGAACTAAGTTAATACAGGTAGATGTAAGGTATCCAACAATTATTTATTTGTGGTTCCATACTCTGATAACAATATTGTATTGTACAGTACTTATTTTATACAGTATCACCTGAGGATTAACCACCGCGGCTTATTTCAACTTCAGATTAACCACTCAAAACCTAACCTAACCAAACCCATCCAGGTAGTGGTAGAGTGTTTAATATTGTTAAAGCGAAATATGCTGGGAGGGGCAGGAGGGCTAATCTGCAGGTGATCCCTTATTTTTTCAACTCGATCAATATGATAGGTAAACCTATTGCTCCTTTTGATTGCAATAGCACAGGACATTTAGGATGTACATATCTACTCATGAACGAGTAAAAACAGCAACTAAGTGCAAACAGCATGCAGGCCACTCAACCCTTAAGCTACATAGGTGGTGTCTGCTACCCACAGAATAAAGCACAACACTAGCATATTAAAATAATTATGGTAGAAGCAAAAAATAAAAACAAAATCTTATAAACATCTGTTGAGTCTACAAGTCACAAAATTTAATGGGTTACCAATTCAGCAAAAGAAAATTAAACTGATAATGGAAACAGTAAACACAACTGTATAAAAAAAAATTAAAAGCCCGATTACAGTATTTATTTACATAATAAAATGTCTTGCCATGCTTTTAAGGCAATAGTATTCATATCATGCAGTACTTATTCATCGCAAACTGGTGTCATGATGCCACTGTCTTACCTGAGAAGAAGAAAAGGAAGTCTGTGAGCGAGACTGCATCACGGCCGTGCTCTCGCTGGTGAACTTGGATGAATAACCGTGACTGATACTGCAAAGGAAGAGTTAAGTTTTTATCACATTAAAGCTACAAATACTACAGTATCACCAAGAAACAAATCTTAACTGAATCAGTTCCATTATCTATGATTGTAATTTTTCTGCAGTCCAAGCAAGTAAGCAAGCATAAGCAAATCTTTCTTAAAGGGTCATATAAGGGGTTCAAAGTTGGTCAAGATACTGTTTTAGGAACCTGAGTACATGAGCAATCATCCCTTGCAAATGCTGTGGCTCCTGTAATGCTGAAGTAACACGTGAATGATTTAAAACTTAACATAAAAAATTTGCAAATACCGAGGATGGTTTTGTTCAGTTTACAGTTGTTGGACACTCACCTGCTGGTGCTAGTGCTGGAGGAGATACTTTGCATTGATGAAATAGATCGGAAACCCTGATTTGTGCCCAAATTATATACTGATGGCATACGTTGACTTATCGGTAGAATGGTATCTCCTGGTCCTGGTATTTCAATTCTCAAGTTTTTGTGCACAGCACTCTCAAAATCTAGGTCAGGTCGATCAGGTAAAGAACTGCATGAATTGAGACTTGTACGGGAGGTGGGAGGTTCATCATGTGGCTGGTTCATACAGTCCAGGCTAGAAGCTGGAGAAACGTGGATTGGAAAACGAGTTGTCCCAGATCCTCTTTCTAGTGAAGTTGAGAGAGATGAAGAGCCAATATTATGGTCTGCCCATTCTGATGAACTTCCATCATGACTATGATTCAAGTGTGGACTGTGTCCAACTGGTGAAGGCAAGTATTTGGCATTTGCAGCATAATTTTCTGGTGAGCTTCCTTTGGTACTCTTCTTTTTAGGAGGTAGAGGGGGAGCAACATCAGACCGCCTGCCAAAGAAAATAATTTAGAGAGAAAAGACAATTTTCTTGATGTGGACTCATCCAGCTGTGACCTCTTGAGTGTTCATACAGTTCCCTGGAAGGAGAGGTTTCTTCTTCAGGAAGTTGAAGCACAAGTAACATGGCAACCCCTTAATGTGGTGAAATGATGAGCATGCAAGGAACTGTCATCTACAAGTGCACCACCTTCTTTCTTATTTTTAATTAAGTATGTGAAAGGATAACTTGTCTAAGAAAACACTGTACAAGTCATCATAAATCACAGCATATGCATTAACATAAACTTGAAAAAAGTTAATTATTTGGCAAAAATATGTCCACTTATAATAAAGTTTAAGATATATCAATTAACCGGAAAAACTAGAATAGAATGCGAAGTAGACATTTTATAAATACCCCCTGGGCAATCTAATATTGAGAAGATCAAGGTTAACATGGTTGGATATGTAGAAAGGATAGAAAACAACAGTGGACCAAGAAGATCATTGTGGGTAGAGATGGAGGACATTGGTGACTTGGAAGACCAAAAACAAAGTGGCTGGAGGGGATGTAGTAGTAAGATACCTGGGGAAACCTGAAATTAGTGTGGAGGAGGAGGAGGTAATGGGAAGCAACTCAAAATCAAAGAGTGTAAGGAGACTGTGTTGGCCTCATGCTGCTGGCAAGCGACTGGAAGACGATTGGAAGGAACGCACACTCACACACGGGTGATGGCTAAAGCATTACTCATAGACAATTATTTTCAAACACTTATAACAAAAAGCCATACTTCAGTCTTAATTTATGTACTGAAAAAAAAATTAGTGTGTTATTTTAAGCTATATTAATGTATTTGATTCCTTTACTATTAATTCATATTACAGTATATTATACCCTGTACTACATAGTTAGTTCTGAAATACTGTATAGTGCTGAATGTGCACAATAAATGCTGAAAACTCACCCAAATGGCAGGGGAGGTTTGGGTGGTGGAGATTCCACCTCTGAACCAGTAAGTATAGAATCTGAGCTTCGAGAATGACTAAGTTTTGTTGAGTTGTCACACGGTAGGAGAAAGCTCCCATTTTTTTCTGTGGGTGAGTCTGCCTTAATTTCAGGTAGAGAGTTTCGATGACTTGAAATATCTGAATGTCTATTGCTGAAAAGATAAAAATTGTGATTAATCACTTAATGAGTGGTGCATTCTAGGATAAGCATGGAATTAGCAAGACTCGACAATTTATCACCTCTATTCTAAAGTACAGTACAGGCATAATAAAAAATCAAAATGGATTGCTCATCCAGCCATGCCTATATCAAACACCACTGATAATTCTGTTCAGTATACGTAGTTCATTCTCATACTTTGTACTGCAACAAGAATATATTACTTCTTAAACTATTTCCCAAGCGTTGCTCTTGATTCCAGCCAGCCTATAACCTTGCAGGAAGAGGCCTACAAACAAGGAGCCCAAAAGGACATATCCCATTTTATAACATGACTTCACATAACTCTAGCACAGTCAGTCATATGATCAGAGTCCCTGGTTTAAACTCTAGCATGTTACCTTAAAGAATTGGTACTTGATAATATCCAGTATTACAGAACTGATCTATTACAGCCAAAAATTTCTCTATTATAGACCTACCAAGTAGATCGAAGAGTAACAATGGTTATTAGTACAGTATATTACAAGAGCAGTATAATATTAATGTAAATGAAGCCAAAAACAATAAAGTATCTGTACTATGCAGTACATGGAAGTGATGTTTTAATTTACTAGTGCTATGGTCCAAATATGGTAAAGCAAATGTTACTAAAATGTTACAGCGAAAGTCAGTAAAGTACAATACAGTACCCACTGCCATAAACAATTTAAACTTTATACCTAAGAGCAGAGGTTCTTAAAACATATGGCTAAACTTCTTGAAATATAAGGGCCCTGGTTTTAAATACTGTACATAAGTAATGCTTGATACTATATGTAGAGACAATGGTTCCCTATAATGTGTATGAGAGAGCATTATTCATGTACAGTACACAGAAGTTTCTAATTTCATATAAAAGTACTGGAATAGTGATATTAAATGATTATTAAGAGACATTTAAAGCTCACTTTATGTAAATGGTGAGTATGTACCAGTACGTAATCTCACCTGCAATATGCTGGGGATTTTTCGATTGAATTATTGTTATCAACGGAGGACGGAATAATACTTGAGTCTGGAGTGTAAAAATTTTCTTTATCAGCAGCAAGATCAACCAATGCCTGTAAATAATAACAAGATCACATATATGTCTTTGGGCACAACATATAACACCAATTTCCATGAAATGAAAATAGTATGAACAAATTTTGTTTGGTTTATACAGTAGCATTTCTAAGTTAAGGATGCACCATACATCCTATAAGCCTTTACTAACTATACTGTATATCAATGTGATTCAAATAGAAAATTCTTCTATCTGGTCTAAGTGAGATGAATTATAAAATTAAAACAAGGTTAAACACTTCCTGGACAGACCTGGACGGCTTCCCTGACTGCCAGTACAACTTCATCGACAGTCTTTGTGTTGTGGGAATCATCTTCATGCAACAGTAACTGGTCGCTCCATCGCACCAATTCTGCTACACTCTGATGGACACTGGCAAGCACTGATGCTACTGCATTACTATAAAGCAAAAATTTGGCCATAACTAAACAAAATGCACATCACTGCAGCATATACAGTACTGTACTTTATTACAAAAACTATTCATGATGTGAAATCATTATCATTAGGAAGTCTTATCTGAACAAAATTAAAACTTTATTACTGTACAGTATATAAAAAACAGATGCTCTGTACAGCACAGGACAACTTATCTTTTGATGATACAGTATTGTTCACAGCACTAAGATCAAAAAATATATATAGTGCCAATTGTACATTAAGTTTTTCACAAGTACAGTACATGTCCATAAAAGTAGCAGGTTTACCTGCTTTGGTTTGAGAAGGCAGGTTTGAGTGCCAGGTTAAGTGCCACCACCATCTCCAGCACCACTGTAGCTGACCCAGGCAGCATGTCGGTGCTGCTCTTGTCCACAACATCTTTATAGAAGTCCAGCGCTCGCCACACATGCTCTACTTTATTGTGTAAGGTCTCGTTGTTTCCACTCGGTTCAACTTTTACAATTTTGCCTGATGGAAAAGTCACAGGATCTTAAAATAGAGTACAGTATAACCATAGTGTGTAAACATCTAGTAATACAGTGTTTTCTACAATTTAATTTGTACAGGACAACTGCAAGACAATACCTGTATGGTACTGATGAAAATACTGTATACTGTATTGTACAGTACTTCTAAACTATAAATGCTAGAAGAGGAGGAGTGTTCAGTTGTATGGATGAGATCTACGTACAGTACACCAAATACCTGACCTATTGTATGTACAGTTGACACACAAAGAAACTCCTTTTTTTCTATTGATATACCCAATGCCTGCATTAATCTTGGCTACAGAACATTAATTAATAAACAAGTTATGACTAGACCTGAGAAAATTTCTGTAAAATGTAGAGTTTATCACCCCAACCTGTTTTTACTTATTCAATACATGTACAGTACATATAGTCATTCGCTCGGTACTTTACTTAAATGCCGTCTTACCAATGGAAAAAAAATGTATACCGTAAGCCACTCACCTCTTCATGTTTATATTTTTATACCAAATCCTAAAAAAATGACAAGTTATTCAGATAAGATTAATTTAAAAATTAAATAAAAAATAAATGATGACAAACATTCTTTGGGTGTATATTTAATTAACAATGGCCTAAGGCCCTGAATTATAAAAAAAATTAATAAAAGAAAGTTTGTCAACCAATTCTTCAGCTATAACTCTTTAAATAATTTTAAAATCTGCCTTAAAATTATTGAATCCACTCAAAAAAGTGACTAATAAATTTATGTGCACAACTTAACACAAAAACCATCACCTCTGAGAATTTCTGAAAAACACATCAACCAGCTAACGTGAATTGGAAATTTAAATTATCTTACTCATAATTAAAAAACAAAAACAAAAAAATCACTGCACCTCTGGTGAACTGAGTGAAATTTGTACTTACTAGTCATTCAGAGGAAAATTTGTGAAATTTGCTTTAACCAGTCCTCTAGAGGGAACTATGAAACATACTGTAGTGACAGAACAGTCAACAGGGGAAACTGAACACTGTACTGTACAAGTCGGGGTACTAAGACAACAAGAGAATCTTAACTTGGCAAAATTAAATTCATTAACAGCAGGAACTTTGAGGAACTTAAATACTGTAATCAAATGCGGGAGTTTATATTCAACGCTGATAAAGGAACAGTAGAACTCCTGATGTTTCTGGCCTCATTCTGTAAAGGTACAACTTGGCTGAGGTGGCTCACCTGTATTCGGGCGCATAGGCGACTTCATCCCTGTGAATTTACCCTCCAATCTGTCCTTGAAGGAGAGAGCTCGACCCAAGAGATTTGCTCTTCCACCCTTGTTGGGTTTTGGCGTATCTGGAATACAAGGAATAACACGTAACTCTTGTGTTGACCTTACTGGGTTGCCTTGACCCATACACATATCATATAATAAATAAATATCTTGTCTAAATATGTAAATATTTAATAATTCAAAGTAATAAAGAAAATAATGAAAATGCTACGAATGGAACAATTATAGAGGAAGCTACAAGGATTAGTTCATTAAAAGAAGACAATAAGAAGTACTTTACAGGGTGTGGCATGACAGTTATGAAACTGAGCACTTGTGGCATGACTGTTATGAAACTGAGCACTTGTGGCATGACTGTTATGAAACTGAACAATTGTGGCATGACTCATGAAACTGAGCACTTGTGGCATGACATGTCATGAAACTGAGCACTTGTGGTATGACTGTTATGAAACTGAGCACCTATGGCATGACTGTCATGAAACTGATCACTTGTGGTATGACTGTCATGAAACTGAGCACTTGTGGTATGACTGTTATGAAACTGAGCACTTGTGGTATGACTTATGAAACTGAGCACTTGTAGTATGACTGTCATGAGTCTGAGCACTTGTGGTATGACTGTCATGAGTTTGAGCACTTGTGGTATGACTGCCATGAATCTGAGCACTTGTGGTATGACTGTCATGAATCTGAGCACTTGTGGTATAACTGTCATGAGTCTGAGCACTTGTGGTATGACTGCCATGAATCTGAGCACTTGTGGTATGACTGTCATGAATCTGAGCACTTGTGGTATGACTGTCATGAGTCTGAGCACTTGTGGTATGACTGCCATGAATCTGAGCACTTGTGGTATGACTGTCATGAGTCTGAGCACTTGTGGTATGACTGCCATGAATCTGAGCACTTGTGGTATGACTGCCATTATCTTAACACTTGTGAGACTCAATACACCTGTGGAAATTTAATTATTTTTCTATTTTAAAGTCATACAGTGAATGATACTTTCTCTTGAATAATCGGAATGAATATAATACTTTCTAAGGGTGGCCAGAAAACTGTGACAAAAAACAAAACAAGCATCTTCAAGTGGACATTTTTCACCTCACAAAATATATAAGACTGTCAGAATCACTGTATTTTAAGACATTCACAGATTATCAAACTAAATGAGTCTATCAGAATTATCTGGTCAAACCCTTTTTATTGTCTGTCACACACTAACACTATAGTAACACAAATTTATGTCCTCAAGGTGTTCATCTCTGACACACTTAGAACCATGTCAGAGATTACAGCTATCATGGTGGTGGCAGAAACATAGTCAACAGAGTCTCTGATGATGGCAACTATACATGAGGTAACAGTCTCTATAATAACTTAAATTATTTTAATATAACTAATTCATGTAGTAATGAATAAGAAGATACATACATACCTGTGGAATTATATGAGGACCTCTGAGTGTAACTAGCCTGAACAAATTCATCGTGGAAGGGACAAATAACTAACCTGATAAGTTAAAAACTACCACAGTCCAAGATGAACTTATCCCACCACAGAGATGAGTACCTACCTGGGAGTCTGTGGAAGGTGTGGAGGAGGGCCCGCTGGAGGGGGTCGGGCTGCTTGGCGTAGACCTGGGCGAGGGCCTCTGTGCTGTGCCACTTCCTCACCCACTCCGGCAGCAGCCCCACCTCCTGGCGGTATACCACGTACACCACCATCCACCTTAACTACTACTACTACTGACAGTTGTCTCCTCACCACCACCACACTGACTGTCCCCAACTCTTGTTCAACACTAATGTTCAATTTCTATACAACATCCTCTCCACTAATGGTTTTAAAGTGGCAATATTTCCTTGCCTTCAACAATCACAACAACACGGTGTTTTCTTCACCTCGGATATCACAACCTCTTACTGTTTTATATTTTTTCTTTCTCTTTCTTTAAATATTGAAGTGTCTTTTAACATCCTGTATAATGTCAACAATGTAAACAATATTTTAATACTGTAGAATAGTCTTTTGACAAAATATGATGGACGATAAAATTTAGGTGTGTGGGGGAGGTGGGAGCTGTTGGATGAGGTCATGGGTGTAGGGCAGGAGGGCGTGTGGCTGTGTACCACCCACCGCTACCACCACCCCTTCACTCACACACCCATCCCCCGTATTCAAATGCACATCTGCCTACACATCGATGCCCAGATACACCTACAGTATACACAAAACAACACCCACTACAAAATCCCCCACACACACATACACACATAGACTTTTGTTTAAAGGAAATTTCTCATATTACCCATTTTAAGACAACGCCTCTATGATTGCTCCACCACACAAGAATTACCGCAATACTTATTCTTTATACTGTTCATATATCAGAAATTGTACTTATATTTCTCATTAACCTTTATGATAACTGTACCAGCGTGGATATTACCTTACCTTTATACCTTAAATCTGTACTAGTTGAACTGGGTAACTATTTCTCGCTAAGGTTAGGTTATATTCTATCACCCAACACACCCACCAGCACCCAGGCAGACAGATAGTGGGTGGGTGGGTGGGTGGGTGATAGGCCCCTCCTTCTCCCCGGAAGGCTGAGGTCATGTAGTGTACCAAATATCCTGAGTGAGCGAGTGACTTCCTAGTGACCATGACCCACATCCCTCACCTTTGCTCCCCCGTTCGACCCCACCTGTCCAACCCTTTCATTACCACTACCGCCTTTCCACTACCATCAACCCCCCACTACAACCACCCACCTCCCCACTACCATCACCACCACCCACATCACCACCACCCACACCACCCACACCACCACCTCGCACTCTTCCCTATAAGGTTACCCGCCGCCCTATACACTCGCACGACCTAATCCCACCTTACACCCTCCCCCACCATCATATGAAAAATAACCCATACAATTAGCCTATGTTTACTGTCTTACCAGCGTTGAGACAGTGGCCCTTCATGGGTGACAGATGGTGGTAGTGGGGCAGTAGGTGAGGTGGAGGAGGGGGGAGGGGGGAGGGGGCAACTAGACCCACAACCAAAGTGTCATCTCAGGTGGACATGACAGCCCCCTCCTCCCTTCACCCCCCCCTTCCTCCACTTAATAATGAACTACATCTGATATCTGGAACCTAAGACGACACTGTAAATTACCTGTATAGTTTAGCGTACAAATGCAGATACAAGTAGCGTAACATACACAGGTACAAGTTTATGTACAGATGCAAACGGAGCGACATAGACTTACTAGTACAGAACAAGTATATCAACATATATCCAGATTAGGTTAGGTTAAAAATTACTTATGAACAATATTTATGTCAAATCATCTTGTACACACACACACACACACACACACACACACACACACACACACACACACACAGTTGTTGACGATGTGTAGGTGGTGATGGACACTATGATAGATGACTTGTGTTCTCTGTATCACACCCCCCCCCTCACCCCATGCAAGACCGTCTATAAAGGCAAGTGAGAGAAGAAGAAATGGTCCTAGAAATCATCTAGTTTTTAGACATGAACCAATCAGAGTTAACAATATCTAACCACAATTATAGGAGCATTATGTGTGGTAAGGTAAGGTTTGGTTTGGTTTGATTAGGTAAGGTAAGGTAAGGTAAGGTAAGGTAAGGTAAGGTTTGGTTTGGTTTGATTAGGTAAGGTAAGGTAAAGAAAGGTAAGGTAAGGTAAGGTAAGGTAAGGTAAGGTAAGGTAAGACAGACAGACAGACAGACAGACGTATCTTTTCACCCGTCCCCATCATCATTATCAAAAAGATTTCACCAAGACAAAGAGAAATTTCCCCGTCACGGTTGTTACAGTGTTCACCTCATCACCACTTAATTCTTCACCTGCATTAAGGCATTTATCTCCAGGTGTTACTCGTGATGAAAGAACCCAGTCACGATTGGTGCCCGGCTGTCAAACTCATGCTAGTCGGTCAGTATGCAGGTGGTAGTTTCTCAGACAAATGTATACTCACTACTCTTCAGATTTCTACATATTTTTGGTGAAGATCGCATGAATAGAAATGTATTACATCAGCAACATTGTCCTCGAGGTCATGCGATCTCCACGAATAAATATTTTTTAGGCATCTTGTGTATTACCAATTATTTCACGTAATGTTTGACACTTACTTTTAGGTTAGGTTAGGTCAAGACCATTACGCTAAATGTCTAGTCATTGTGAAAAATGACTGATTGCCTAGTATGTCTGTTGCAGATATTATCCACTGTTGTAGATCTGTTGCACACGTATACGACAACAGGGAATCAGGAAATTGCTAATCAATGTGTTTTATTACCTGTGTTCACCTGTGTTATGGCCCCTGTTGGACTTTATAATGACACATCACCGCCACTGACAGTCTTCTCACCTCTACAAGACAAGAGACTTAATTCGTCTATCTCACCAACCCCTACGACACACCCGATGGATTCTCAACACTTCACAATAACAAACTTTTCGCCCCAAACAGGAGAAAGATAAAGATAATAATAATAATAATAATAATAATAATAATAATAATAATAATAATAATAATAATAATAATAATAATAATAATAATAATAATAATAATAAACAACCTTACGAGTTCACTCTTTTAGCTCCGATATAAAAATGGATTCTCAATAGTTCGTAATTTAAAAGTACTTTCCATCCCATTCCCTCTCTCACTTAACTGGGTGACGTGAGAACAGTTCCCACGGGTTGAGGGGCTGGAGGAGGAACACACACACATACCTTAACATCACTCTCACCTTCCACATCTTACCTACAACAACATGAGTACACCTGAGGGTAGGGAGGCTGGGTGGGGAGGAGGAGGGTGGGCCGGTCAGCAACATGGCGGGGGCTCTTGACCCTGGCTGGTCTCCCCAACCAACAAGTTCTTATCCCCCTCCCCCTCGCCACTCCCCGAGACTTGTACTCTCGCACACCACCACAACCTTCACCACTCTCACACACCACCACAACCTTCACCACTCTCACACACCACCACAACCTTCAC